AGTTTAAATAAAGAACAGTTTAATCTATAGAACCATTGTTCTGGAGTAAGGTTGAGTAAATATTGAATAATCTGGTTAAAACACAACTTTATATCATTGTCTAAAATCGAAATGCTTTTCTATTTGGAAACATCCCAAGGTTCTAAAAATACAATTCATTTATATATTTATATGTATTTGAAAGATGAGATCTTTCATTCCTCCTATTTGGATTCTTTTTGTTTTTTGACACACAAAATAGGTTATTGAAATGTGGGACTTTTGTCACTTTTATTTGGTATTTTAAGAATAAATGACTGAATTAATGAAAAAGAAATTGCATTGAGAAAGAAAACACAATAATGGATGTAATCATTAGTTGCAGCCCTGCATACAGGTTATTCTCAGTTCACAGAGGTATCTTGAGAGCAGTGTAGTTGGCATGAAAAATGTGAACAAATAATATCACAGCGTGGGTGTGTAATCCCTCCATCATGTACGGACAGTTCTGGATTATTTCCAAAGTCAAACACCAGTCAGCCAATCTGGTGGTCACACAAAACGATGCCCTCTTTCGCGGCTCATTGCAAACTTGCCATTCCTCTGGTGACAACACTCTTTTGAATATCACATCATGACTCTGCATTTCCATGCCGTCTGGAAAACACTACTCACTACTACTTGCCTCATTTTCAAACGGAGCAAATCAAACAAACAATAAATCAATCTACAAGTCTAACCACACTGACTTTTTGCCCAGTGCCATCATTAGTATGGTTTATTTGCTCACCGAGCAGTTTCTAAAAGCAGAAGCAAGCACAGGGCTGTGTTCTGTGGGGTAGATGCTGATGTCACTGAGCTGCAGCAGTAAGTGCCCCTCTCCTCTCACTCTACTGTTTATTTGGAAGTCATTAGTGCTGTCCAGCTTGGGCCTATACATGCTCTGCTTACGCAAAATCAAATCAGTGATCTAATTATTAGCAAGAAGTCCATCATTGGAGCGAGGCCTATTCTGTTTCTTACGGTAAGTGGTTGGCACACACTTTTACCAAAAGAAAAAGTTAGACTCCTGTTGAACTTCAGACATGTTAGGAGTTGGTTGAAAATAGATAAACGCATCATTCATGCATTCATTTGATTAGTCCACACCTGAAAGAGGATTTAGTTTGCGTGTATTATTGAGTCTCTATTACATCATATGGTTTTTAATCATTTCTACTGTAGACAAGAGTTTTAACAGTACATGGCATATGTCATAGCTGCAGTATCTCACCACCAGTCAAAACAAATTTAAACGAAGCCCCTTAAAATCTGAGACAGCCTCAAACTCGTACCGCCATTTTCCCAAGCTAGCCACTGTCTGTAGAGACAGAAGTACAAGACATTGACACGGAGTGAGTCATTGTCCAGGCCACAATATGAGAAATATCAACACCAATAAAGTGAAATTAATGTTGATCTTCCTCGGCGGGAAGGCAGACTACTGCTGATGCAAGCCATTCCCGTTGGTATGTGCCGGACTATTTTCTGCAACATTTAATTTGGAAATGAAAATATACCATTACTATTCAGTAACATCATGTTAGAAAATGAAAAAACGTGATGACAGCTCATCGTTTAACTAACTTTACCACACTAACAATCATGATTTAATTTCTCTTTTTGTTATGACTGGCTAGTAAGATGGGAAAATGTTCAGTATGCAATGGATTAATGTTATGAGCTATAAAGCAGACTGACATTGAGGTAATCGGTCTGCTCACTCTTTTTTATATTCAGTGCATTTTGATCCAGTTGAGAGTGAGAGGGGAGTAACTGGGGGCTTTGGGTTCATCTCTAAACCTCTGAAAAGGGTCATCTTCCTTGCTGACCTCAGCCGGATTTGTTTCCCGAAAAAGGAAATGACTGCAACCTTCACTGCACTTGGGTCGTGAGCTAGACTTGAGGAGCCAAACTACAAAGAGCTTAATCTATTTATAGGAAAACACTGCCACAGTACAGTGATCAGGGGGAAAAGGAACCCTACAAGACAGAAAGACAGTCGGACGCCAAGGTTACGCGCCAACTGTCAAGATCAACGAGGAGCCTTGCCATTCGCCTGCTTTATAACTTATATCCATTTTCCTTGCCTCTCTGAAAACATTACTTACTTTTTACATTGTCGATTTTGACATAATATTATTATTATAGTAAGAAACGCAGCACCAACAAAGCTGTCTCATGCAATAATAATAAAAACTAATTTGAGTACAAGAATAACTGTCTTTTCAGTTTTTTATTTGCAGTCCACATTAATTTGCTGAGACTTAATGTCTCATATTTGGAAAAACAGTACTAGGAGAAGCCACACTTTAACCATAGTTTGAATCAGAGCATAGTTAATGCTTTAATAACAGGGATATAAAACTAAAGAATACAAAAGCTACATTCCTCACATACTGGATTAACTACCGAAGAGAGCTGAAGTGAGGGCATAGCCTACAACGGAAAAGTAACAACAGCCTCTTCATAAACATACTTTGGTTATATCATACCATATATTATTTTGTAATAAATACAACTGTCATAGCAACAGTACTTACACAATAACTTGCTATGCCAAGCAGGAATGCAATTTTCTTATATTGAGTGATTTGCAAATTGCCATAGTGACTCAAATATCTAGAGCTCAAAAAACACACACAAGACTGAAGGTGAAAAAGTTCAACACTAACTAAAAAGAAAAACTCACCCCTAAGTCTTTACAACTGTACATATGGGCAGCATTCAGAAATAAATACATGAACATATTGTAGACTGTGTTACTATGCTTTATCAAAACTCAAAAGAGCCCACAATCACAAACCCTCAATCAGGCTAAGAGAACACAAGCAGTCCCATTATACACTAGTTCTTCAACTAGATATTTGATATATTCCATTTTCTCCATCCTGTGGAACACTAAGGAACAAGGACATCTCCCATAATTTAGGATGAGAGGATACAGAAGAGACGGAAAAATATCTGGACTGTTAAAAGACACAAAGGAAAACAGGGAATGAGATGAGAGATGGAGGGTCAGCAAAGGTCCCACGAAAGGAAAGAAACACAGGGAGGTAAAGAAAAGCTGTGGAAGGACACAGCTCTGTGAAGTATTGCCTGTTGTCAGGAGGCCTTATGAACCCGGAGCTAAGGTCGTAAATTGTGGAGAGACCGGGAGTGGCTTGGATTGGTTTGAGAAGAAATTCTACATCCACACTTTATCATCTGTCTTTATGTACACAGGGACAAGTTACACAGCATGCGCCATGAATATATCGAGTAATAAAAAAGGGAAGTCTATATCCAAGTGTTATATCATAATACCAAGATATGCTTTCCTAAATGTTAACCAAATATGATGAAAATGTGTTATGTTAAGATTGTACACATTCCTATAGTTTTGATTTACCCCCATAGAGCTTATTACAATACCAACAAATGGTGTGGGGTCATTACCGAAACACATAATTGAGTTTCAAAATGAATTGTCATGTAGAATCTAAAGATGAGCGTATGGACAGGCCATTGTTTCCACGGCAAAATGAATTTGCTTTCTCTTTCTTGCGGTGGAACTGGTGGAATTCTCAGTTACAACTCTCCCATCACCCGTTCACATTCATATTATTGGAAACACTGACTTCAAGCTGAAAGAACGAGAAGAAAAACACGCCAGTCGGAGCATTAGAGCAATGATCCATCTCCAGTTCAACATGGTCACAGGAAAGAGGGCTAAAACAATCAGCTTTCCTTTCTTTCTCTTCCATTCTCCCATTGGTGTCAAGCAAACATCTGCCATTCCTTCTCAGCAGAAGGCAAGGTCGTTTGTTTCCATGTCGAGATCACTTTGTTATACAACCTGTTTGGGAACAACTGCTCAGACAGGATATTGCAGGGTAGTACAACGCCTTCTTTTCCCAACTACAAGACCGTCAATGTTGTAGAAACAGACAATAACTGTCTGTACTTAATGTGTGGGAGACAAATGCACATGAACAGCCCATCAGGGATCTTCTCTGAGATTGCCACAAATTAATACCTTAAAATTCATTAATTGAACTTGACGTTAGGCTCCAACAATGTCCTAAAAGCCCCATGTCGAGATTGAGGCGTTATCCCCTTGTTTTTCCGCTAATTGTACATCTCAGAAAAGCAGCATAGCTCGCCAACAACTAAAACCCTGAGACAGTATATTAGGTCTAGGTTGGGTAGCCATTGAGAAATAAATATTAAGTCTAGAGTGCCTTCCTAACTGTCTGTGACAAAGACACCAGTCCCCTTTCTACAGTGACACTCACTAACTCTCCCTTTAATTGACCTGCAGTGTCTGAATTGTACATTGTCTTTTCCTGATTGTGAGAAAAACAAACTGACAGACTAATGCACTTGTTTGGTTTGCTGTGAGTGTAGACGTTAGAGATAGCGCTCGAAATTCAATATAAAACTATGGCAATTAATAGTCTTGTGAGAGCGATGCATTAAAGGATCTAATTGTTGTCCGGTTGACAGATGATCGTCCCAAAGTCTTATGTCTCAAGTACCGCCTGTCTGAGAATAAAGCAGTCTGGGGCAATGCCCTCTGTTCTTTATGGCAATATATACTTGTGAGGGAAGCTATTTAGGGACTGATGAAATAACTGAAATAACTCCAAAGCACCATTATCTCTGAGCAGATCTGATTCCACAAAACTCTTGCATGTTTTTCAATGCATTTAAGCAGAATAAAGATTATTTATGTATGCAAGACAAAGGATAATCTGGTGAAGAAGCCCTTGACCTGAATTTGAGGTCAGTCTTCCCGACAATGGTAGTGTGAGGGTGTGGGTGTGCTATGTCCGTGTTGCGGTGGCGTGAGGGAGTATCACTGTCCAACAGTTTACATGAGGCAAGACGTTCCATTGCAGAACAACTATGTCTGGTTGCTTTCGCACAGCAGTGTGTAATGTGTCTGGAATGTTTCTTTTGACGAATATGTACAGAAACACATGCAAATTCAACTTTACCATTCTGTTCTTCCAGCTCATTGCCGATCTCCTGGCCCATTATCTTCTGCCGGCTGATGACAGCTGCGAGTGCATCCAAGCCTGCATCCTGGACTGTGTAGAGAGAGGAAAGTTTAATTTTATACCAGATAAAATAGGAAAACTTACAGTTAAAGCACTGAGATTAAGCAATGCCAGACAACCATACAGAGAAAACGTTTATTGTAAACAATACAATTAATGTGATTTGCACCAGAATGGTACTACAAACAATAAAGTAACACTGCAGTCGCCATTTGAAAAGCAAATTGTAAGACGGGAGCAATTAGAGTATACTGTACTTGTAATATAATGAGCCAACTATTTGTGAAATTGGAATGACAGGCTGCTGGGGTCCAGCTCCGCTCACAGTGCCACATGTGAGTCATTCAGTACTTTACCCCACTCAACCATACTCATGTTATTATAACTGCGGCAGACCAAGGTGCAGAGAAAAAACACTAAAGCCGAAAGAAAATATAAGAAAAGAAGAAAAGAAAGAAAGGAACAAAGAAAAGAAAAGAAAAAGGAAAAGAAAAGAAAAGAAAAGTTTTGGTCTTTGTAGGTTTCCAAGTTTGACACACTCTGTACCACAGGATTTTTTTTATTACCACAGGTTCAGGCGCTCACCATTACCCAACCGCACCAGAAATCCCACAGGGAAGCCACATGGAAACCTCCATGTGGTTTGGTTTCACTGTCTAAAGGGGAATCTGTGATCCCAAAATTGACAATAACCAGAGCCGTAATGGAGACTTAGCAATGAAGTCTCACTTGGAGTAAGGTGAACGATTGTCTAAGTCATCAAATCATGTCAGAGACTTTGAGGAATGTTTTCTAGATGTAAACTTTCGTCATCATCTTTATATGTTAGCACACACCAGTATAGCCTACAGAGGGTCCCTACAGATTAGGGTTAGTTAGATTTCAGACTTGATATTAAGTGTTTTTGGTTCCGCTATCCTGATCTGCTTGTTGTTAATGGAAAAGGAATTTGGTAAATTATTAACTTTATATTACGCTAAGGTAGAAAAGCGCTTAGAAACTCATTACACTAATTCAAAAACTCAATTATGTGTAATTACCTTCAATGACTTGTTGTTGCTGCTGTTTGATTTCGCCAAAGGTCAGCCCTCTGGTGTCCTCTGACTCGTTGATCAGCCAGGGGTTGGCCGCACCACCTCCACTCGTTCCTGACCCCATGCCCATCAACGTCGACCTGTAAAAACATTATTATAACAATGCTTTGTTTCCAAAATGTTTCACAGCAGTTCTTCGAGTTAAAGAAAACTTTGTTTTGGAGACACTTTTCCCACCAAAAAGCAGAGCAGCAGCTGTGAAAGTAACAAAGACCAATCCCCCAATAGTTCACTAGAACTGAGTGTAGATGGCAAAAGTCCTTTTTGGCTGACAATCATCATTCCATGCATCAGTGACTTTTGGCTATATAAGTAAACAGTTATATGCTTGTTTGGGATAGGAGTACAATGCAGATATGTACAACTCTTACAGCAAACACATCTGTACAAGGCATGTTCCCTTTTCAATACTGTACTTAACATTTTTAAGACAACATCAAAACCATTTAGTTCTCAGAAAAAAGTGTTGAGTTATTTGGTATTTAAGTCTTTTCATTGAAGAATACCAGGTTAGCTTGTGCATTTCGTAAACAGCATGTGTTTATCTGTCACAGGACTGTGGACTGCTGAGGAGGTTTACACTCTGACGATGTGACAGACCAGACAGCTCTCTGTATTGTACTATGATGTGCTAAACAACGCTCTGTGGTTAAAAAGCGATTCCTCTGCTGATAGCTTAAAGCTGTGTTTCAGTTTGCGGTGATGGGTTCAGAATCTCTGTGTGAGTCTGGATTTAACCATGTCTGCTGTGAGCAAGTCATATGCTGGTCAGGACAAGTAAAAGTGACCTGAGTCACATGTAGCCATATCGATGACTAATGCAAAAAACTGTGCTTACTATTTATTTTGATGTAGTTATGATGTCCGGCTTACACAATTTAGTTTTTCCCAGGTATAGTTAAACCCAAGAACTTTCAAATTCCAAAGTTATTTTGGTTGAACTCTCCTTTGCCTGAGCAATACACAAAGCTACACACCGTAACTCATTCATCTCTCAGCTTGATGACTAATTCAAGTTACTTTTTGAAGTGGTCGGTAAAGCATCTTTAGACCATTCGCAAGGCTAGCTAACTGAAGCTGATACCATTAGAAGAGAAGGGAAGACAAGGCATTTGGTCCAATCTCTCTGACATGTCTGATTACTATTAAACTGTTTGCCAGCCCTTCACTTCCTCCACAAAATTGCCCGGTGTGTGAAAATCCAATTAAACAGTCAGTGGGGAGCGCCAAAATCAGTCGGGCACATCTCTTGGCAGCAACAAAGTACTAGCCTGCCGCCATCAGGGCCTGAGCGCCCAGGTCCTGACTGAATGACTTGGACAGGGGAGATTTAACTAATTACAACTATTTCCCGTGCAATCAAATACAAAAGAAAGGTTAGTGAATGAAGGTGGAGAGGTGGGTCTGAGGGGTGACAAGGTGAACTGAGCCTTCAAAGGTAGGCGCCATGTCCTTCTTCTCTGAAATGGAGATGCTTAGAAAGTATTGTCTTATGGATAAATTAAAGTCTCCTCTGTAACCTTTATCCCTTTTTCTTTTACCCAAAGTTCTCACAAAAAAAGAGCGGCTTAGATTATCCAAGCATGGCCAATCCACCCCCACCGTCATTCTGTCCTCAGAGACCACACAGTGGGAACGGTTCCTACCCACAAATCCAAACTACCCACCACAAATCACTATTAAAGTTTGGTCCCACTGAGCAAACTTAAAACTATAAGACCACATGATTACAGTGTGCCAAGCTAATTTATTAGCACATTTCATTTGAGAATTTATTTTTCAGAGCCTTTTATGTAATTGGGTGTGTGGTCTGTAAAAGATAAAAGCGTGTGCAAAGCACCACTAAGTAGATCAATCTTAAAACCAAAGCTTGTGAAAGTTATCAGAGAGAAGCATCAATAAAAGTGGTTTTCTAATCTGGTTCTACTGATCTGATGAAGCAGTGATGCTTGGTTTCATTATACGACATTTATGACTCCTAAAAACTCCCCGCACAAAGTAAGTAGGCATACTGTACCGCACAGGAACTTTAATATAAATGCTGAGACTATACAATGTAAATAATTAATGAAACACTGGAGGTAGTTGACAACATGACACCATTTCCTCTTCCTGTCCAAACAAATATCACCTGGACCAGACTAGGTCAAACATCACACAAAGAAATCAGTGCCTATGGTTTGCAAAGCTGTCACATTGACATGACATCACATGATGAAGAAGATATAAGCTGTGTATCTATCTGTTTGAAAAGCTCCATTGAGCAGGTCTCCCTTGAAAAAGAGATCAATGATCTCAATGGGATACAACCTGGATAAATAAAGGTTAGATTAATACTGGAATGAATGCTCACTGGAGAGTTTGTGTAAACTCGCTACTTCTATTCTCGTTCATCAAGACAACCACACACCACACATTCATATGATTTTGTGTGTGTATGCGTGTGTGTCCATTTCAGGAGGTGCCAAATGTGTGATCAGCAGTGCAAAGCGAGCAAGTCTCTTAATGAAAAAGAATTAGCCAGGAAGTTGATCGCCTTGTCAAAATGGCAGACAGACAGACTTCCTTCCGTGTGATAGCACAGGGAGAGGTCAGAGCACATGGGTCATACCGGATGTAAAAAGGCTTTCACAGAAAGTTAGTGACCAGTGACGTATCATCAAAGCAGAGAACAGAGCCTATGACCTCTCTGGTCAAGGACATAGACAAGAGAATGAGGATTCATTATTTTTAATTGGACAACCAGCCCCAGATATTACTTCTTTTTTTTTTATCTCAGAGAGGAAAATCACAAAACGAAAGACGGCATGTTCTGAGTAAAATACCCCCTGAGACATCATGGGATGATGCTTGGTTTCGCTCTTCTGACAATGACTGACAGTGACAGTCAAAGAGGGAGGGAGGAAAAATCTTCAACACTTTTCTTTAAGTACTTAAAGGAGCAGGAACTAAATACTCCTCAACTCAACCCTCCCCTTCGTCAGAGAGCTACAATGGCTCTCACGTAACATTAAAAGCTAGTGTTTAGTGTGTACGATCTATAATTCTGCTTAAACACAGCAGTAGAGCATGTCAGTCTCCCTGGAATAGGACCCTCTTTATATATATATAGATATGAAGGGCTCATTCTAAGCTTACAAAAACCATCTAAGAAAATCGCCACTGAAGACAAGCAGAGGATGGACTATTGAGGCAGCAGCATGGCTTAGTATTGAGAAAACACCCTTCATGCACAGCTGCAGGTCCCATAAGAACAGGGACAAACAAACTACTACTAATTTAAGTGATTTACTTCATTTATTATACATATCAAGAAGATTCACCCAAATCCTTGACATTTGGATCTAGTGGTTTAATTGTCAAAATTAAGTTTTTGTGTCACCCCCATTCTAGCAGAGAATGCATAATGACATTTGCAAACTTTATGAACTTTATGAACTTTTCCTGTCATTAGAAATGAAAAGATATTGCTTGGATGTTAAATACCTTGAAGATTCAGGCTCTGTGACGTCTCCTCTGAAAGTGGCATTGAGCTGCTTCTCTCTGGTTAGCAGGTCATCAATAAGGTTCTGCCTCCTATCAGCTTCTGGCTGCATTCTGTTGAAGCCATGTTAAGGTCATGCATAAGGTCAATATCACTCTGAGGGTAAGGATGCACTTTTATTTGAGTCTGTTTGTAATTAAAGGATAAACAAATATAACCTTTCGACTGCTTTTGTAGTAAGGGCATTCCTTTTCAAAGCACTCTAATTCCCTCTACAGGAGGATAAATGCTACTGCAAGCAAAGAAAACCCTCCAGCCCAAAATGTAATCTCAATCTCATGACTTCCTCTGCTTGGAACGTTATCCGAAGAAAGGATACAAACGACGAGCTGATGATGCTCGCAACAAACCCTCTTTGAGCTGGGAAATATTCTGTTTGAGCTTCTGCAGAGACGCCCGTAGTGTCATGTTGATCTGAAAAGGCAAACAACATTAACAGCAACTGACTACTAGAGACACTTGACGATGTTAGGAGAAATGTAACCTGCCACTTTCTTTTGTGAAGGTAACACCTTACCTTTGCAGGGTTCCCCCCTGTTCTCTGTTGCCTGTTTCGTTCATGAAGGTTTTCTGCTACTTCCTGTGCCAGGCGACACGTGGCATCATAATTCTGTAACCTATAGATCAATTAATGGAATATAGATTTCATGTTAATTGATCTTTAATTACTGACACATGACAGTGGCTGGCCACAAATAAACTAAGGAACAACATAGCAAGACCCCCTAAGTGGTTATTATGATAGTGAACAGAACAAAGTCAATCACTGGTATGTGAAGTGTATGTTGTTCTGTTTTGTATTTTGTTTGTAATGTATCCCAATGTTGTGCAACCTACAAGTATTTAAAGAATATATTCAAATGCAGTAAAGACTTGCTAGTCTGGCTATGTAGTTCATACTTTTAGTGTTCAGGTAAGGTTGCCAGAAGCTTAGTGTAACTATTTGGTCGTGTTTGATGCTGGACTTAAATGTTATTTAGCAAAATTACCTGACTGACAGTCTTAACAGTTTGATCTGCACAATAATAATTGTATACAGCACTAATGTGTTGTACTGTTACGTGTTTGTGTGATTCAAGTTCAGTACAGTTGGGAAAACTCGAGAGAATAAGACAAAGCTTCAGTTACATTCAATCATGTGACATTTTTAGCATTTCCTTTTCCTCTTTCGATTCTGCCATCGTTACTCAATCTGAATGGTAAATATAAGTATGTTACACACAAAAGCATGCAAATCCATTACCTGATCCAGTACCGCCATTCAAAAATGTTCAATCCATAAAGTGATCATTTTTGTATGGCTTGCAAGTCATAATATTTACAAGAGCTAGCTAATGCTGCTACTTTAGCTAGCAGGATGAAGAAAGAGTAGCTAACTTCTGAGCGTCAGTCACGTAATGTTGGGAAGTTAGGTTGATTTGAGACTGTGAACACATTACTTACCACGGATCCTGAGACATTATGATCGGGGTAAGGTAAAAAGATTAAAGTCCAGTTAGTTTGAAGCATCAGACAGTAATCACCAGCGAAATGTCTCTTGTTTGGGTGTGACGTCACAACGGCACCTTGCGAGGGACATTTGAGTCGGGGGAAAAACAACATAAAGGATATTGACATTTAGATTTGAACACATAAATATTAAGTTACCAATCTTAAGTATTATTTACTTGAATATGAATTACTTTTGCTCATGTTGGTTGATGTTTACTTTACATGGACTAAACTTAAGTATCCTACATTTCACATTAAACCTTTTTCTTGCAGTTTAAAAGAGAACAAATAATAGCTTTACTTTCAGCAAAGTTTGAAAACAGTATCACCTGTAAAGCTATGAGTAGTGAACATGTAATGTGGACCATCTCTACAGTATGTACATGTAGACATACTCAACAGAGGTAATGTGATGATTGTTTACTGTGATCATTTTAAACTTGAATGCAAAGTGTGTGTTCCTCTCAATGGGGGAGATGCATTTACTGCGTTTGGCAGTAAAGAATTTGATGAATGGAAATTAAAAATCATGTAAATATATATTTTCATTTTTTTCATATTTTTTAAATGTTTCACTTTGTTAAAATACTTGGAAAGGCATGACAGGAAGCAACAAAACAGTAAGAATATCAAGGTGAATTTCTCACAGACTGTGGACTGTATAGTACTGAATGGTATGTGTTTTAACCTCTTGTTTTTTACATTATGCCCAAAGTCCCAGTACAAGTTATGCCAGCCTTCATGGAAATTGAAGTAACAACATCATGCATGCCTTCTCTGTGGCTAGAGAGTTTGTTATTCAATTCCAGGACATGTGGAGCCCCCATATGAGATAAGTACTAGTCTTGGTTTTATGTTTCTTGACCAAACAGAAGTTGTGTTTGGATCAAAACACATATCTGTTGTGTAGAATAATAACCTTTAGAGTACTTCTTGGAAAGGCTCATTTGGCATTTTGTTTCTACGTCTGAAGCCTTTTCAGAGAAAGACACATGATTACATTGCTATTTCTGATGACCTTTTTATGAATAAAAAATATTTAGTTTGGTTTCCAAACTTTCCATATCAAACTCAAGCTATGCAATATCAATGAAAATATATTGTGGCAAGTGAGTGGCTCTAACATTTACTGATCAACTCATTATGTTAATTGCAGTGAGTAGTGTTATTTGAAGGATGCTTGGTCAAGTCATCATTTTATAAAGTGCCTGTATTGTCACCTGAACATTTTGATTCTTTGTATCAGTGCTGATTATGTAGATGCAGATGATTTAATCATCTTTTCCCCGTGCAGTGCTGGCTTACAACAGCTTCTGAGGATTTGTTCCCAGTATGGCATTGATTTTAATATTAAGTATAACGCCAAGAAGAGTAGCATCATGATTGTGAGAAGTAAAGAGGATAAAAAGGCTGTATTTCCTAATTGTATTCTCAGTAGCAACATTCTTCTTGTGTGCAGTGAGATTAAGTACCTTGGTCATTATATTTCTGATGATCTTACAGACGACAAAGACATCCATAGACAACGCTGCAAACTGTATGCCCAGGCAAACATATTAATGCGGAAATTTCACAAGTGCTCTGTAGATGTCAAGGTATCACTTTTTAAAGCGTTCTGTACATGGCTCAATTGTGGAGTAACAAGGCTAGAAGCATGCAAAAACTAAAAGTTGAATACAATGATGCTTTACGGTTGCTGGTGAGGGTACCAAGATGGCACAGTGCTAGCCAGCTGTTTGTTAACTTGGGGGTACCTACCTGTCAAGCCCTTTTAAGAAAGTTAATGTACAAAATCATGTGTCGCCTAGAAGACTCTGACAATCATGTTATCTCGACTCTAATTAACCCTGTGAAGAGTTCTACTCGGTTCTCTTCCATGATTTGGAGACATTGGCGCAATAGCCTATACAGACAGTGAGCATGTGTGGCTAGCTGTAATTGGACTGATTTTATGTTTTTTATCTGTTTGCTTTTATTTATTTTGTGTTTAGCTTTTTAATCTTATTTATTGATGTGTATCTTGTCATTTTGTATGTGATATGGACCTTGAGTCTAAAATAAAGATTGATTAATGATTATGGTGGTATTGTGGATGCTTTCAAGTACGATAATTAACTTCTCAGAATGAGACACTGCATGTTGCCAGTAGTAAAACTGTTAATCACAAGATGTTTTCTGTTTCAACGACTGGAGTCACCACAAACAAACCATACCACTCACGTGACCACAGCCCACAGGTTTATATAATCCTCAGAACGTGCAGCTAGTAACAGGAGGCAGTTAACCTTCCAGTTTGTATTTGGTGGAACAACACGACTTGAGATGATTGATTGTGGAAACAGGAATTCTATCCCAATTCATACATCCTCTGACCAAGACCTGGGCTCTATGGCGGGAGGCAGAAGCAGGCAAAGGTCTCACTCCTGTGACAGTCCAGAGGAAAGTAAAAACGATGGTGATCGGAAAAAGACAGAGGACACCTTTCTTAGACCTCGCTCCAGGTATGTTTTACTTTCAACTTGCAAATCGAAAAAAACGTTTTAATCCATATTAAGTGACTGATCAAACAACAGTCAGCAAAATACATATTGACTGATAACAATGTGGATTTGTGTTTAACAGTGTAGCAACATTGGATAACAGACCATGCCCAGCACAAACAAAAGTTAAAAATAGGTATATTCTCACTGAATGCATATTTAATATTGTATCAACTGCTCCACAGGTCTTTTTATGAAACACCAGAGCCCAAGAAGTCCGATTATGATGTGGTAAACCTTTCAAGGTCCTGTCCACTGCGGCAAAGGGCACTCTCCCTAATTCACTATGAAGTGAGCAAAAAGGAAAAGAAGGCAAAGACTAAACCAAACAAGCGCTCACCAACAAGAGAACTTAATGGTACAACTTGTAATAGCATGTTTAATATTTCAAAACTCTATTTACATTGTTTATTTAAATACAAATCTTATCAATGTATGCATGCTTTGTTTAGGCAGTAAAGGCAATCTCAAGTCTGTGTCCATGATGACCATCTCTGAGTCGGACAAATGGGAAATTTGCTCCAGCTCGAGGATGAAGTACGGACAGTTTGTGGACTGGGAGAAGATTGACCCTGAAGCCGCAATAAGATACCAACTTATCCTGCAGAGTGATCACCATCAGCTCAAAACTATGGCCCGAGAAGGATTTTGGGCCATGCCCCATACACTGAGGGCCAAGGCTTACTATCACATCATCCAAAGCATCAATTCAAGGTTAACATTATAAAATGTAATATTGAAAACATATATTTTTTTGTAATAATGTTAAGCATATTTGAGGGAATTGAAAGTACTTTTGAAAAAAAAAGTGTGATTTTCTTTTATTTGAATATACTGTGCTAAATGATCTGAATATGCATTGATGTTATATCTGCAGTAGGACAGTCACTCCAGACAGAGAGGTCCACCATGTACTGACCAAGGAGCTCTTTGGAGAACAGAAAATCAGCACACATCCAGTCCCAGATTACATGGAGGCGGGAGATATACCCAGGTACTTTTGTGGGATAATATTGGTTTACATATCATAGACATGTTGCTTAAAACAAATGTGTTCCGACAACACATTTTCCGTATTTGTGACACAGAACATATTCCATTTTAATTATTCTAATTGACCAGCTGAACCTCGAAAGAACAGACCTGAATGATTGCTTTCATCTTATTTAAGCACATCAGATGATATTTGTTGTATTCATTCTGACTTACTTTATATTGGCCTTTGGTGGATTTCTACCTTTTTGAAAAATGTCTTGCCCATTGAGAATGCAAAGTATGCAATGATTTGTTGATTGTTCTTCTCTTATCCAGATACTGTCTCAACGAAGCAGGACTGAACTCAGTTAAAAGGATCCTCCTTAGCCTTGGTAAATGTTTCCCGGACATGAATTTCTGCCCCATCCTGCCTGAAATGGTCTCCCTCCTCCTCCACTTCAGTGAGGATGAAGCCGAGTGTTTCCACAGTGTGTCCCGACTCATCTGCTACAACGACCCAAACAAACGTTATATCGACCAGACCTTCCTCACATATCGTGCTTCCTGCATGACCTTTGGAGACCTTGCTAACAGATGTTGCAGAGGCATCCGTAAGCTGATCGCCAGCTCTTACCAGAACCTCTTTGACTTTTACTCTGACTGGATCATGTGGATATTCGCTGACCTACCATTCACTTATGCCATTAGAGTGCTTGATGTCTATCTATTGGAGGGCTACAAAGTCCTCTACAGGTTAGTTGCTGCTACATCTTAACATTAAATCCTTCAATCAAAGTCACTTTTCATGGCATAACCTTTACATTTGAAACAATGCAGTACAAGTTTTTTTCAAACATTCTTTGTATAGGGTGGCATTGGCTTTGCTCAGCCTCTACAAAGTGTCCGTGTCATCTCGAGTGGCAGACGTGGAGGACTTCAGAACAGATATGAAAGGGTTTGTGGAGAGTGTAGCTCGCCACTGCACAGCCGAGAGGCTTCTGGAGATGGCCTTCATGATTCCGATGGCCACGCGGAGAGAGCTAAACCTCCTGTTCAATGCCAATGTGGACGCCCTCATGCTAAAAGGTGTCAGCATACACCAGAAGAGGTGGGTTAGTGCAATTGATATAGCACACCTGTTAAAGGCATATAAGAAAAGGTGTATAAGTTAAAAATGCTGCTCATGTTTTTTCTTTTTCAACTTAAGATTCTTATAATAACTTTTTGTTGTGCTCCTAAAGGCATTCTGTTGAGATGGTGGACTTTAACAACTTCACCTCCAGTGTTGTGACAGTGGCTTCGATGAGAGTGGTGTGGGCCTGGATACCTGAGCGCTTTGCCCTCTTCAGCCCCATCAGGCTGTTTAGTACCGCTGAACATGGAAGAAGCCTTGCTTCGTAAGTCATCTTTGTTCATTACTTTCACAAAAAAAACCATCTGGAAGACAAAGAACTAAGTAAATAGCTAGCAGTGTTTTTCGTATAAGAAAACATTCATTTCCCTGAGGAAGTTATCAGGGATTAAAAACTGCTACATATGTCAGAGCAGTGAACAGTTACA